ATTGCGAAATCGCAAAAGCATTTACACGTTTCCCATCGCTCAATTGGTTATTAAAACGTTATGTGTTAAATTCCGAAAGATTTTCGACAAAAAAATGGAATCTGTTCAATAACACATTTTTGATTTCGATTAATACGACTATACTGTCGGTCAGTTGTGTTTACCCGCAGAACATGCACTATACTTGTAGAGTCGGTGGGAGGTGAATTTCAAATATACGCACACACGCCTTAACATGTTCGGCATTTCTAATGTCGTAGTTAATTTCAAATTCCTAATTAACCTACTACGACGAACGTCTCGTATTGAAGTCACCGTGACACTAGCCATGAACTAACAGTGAACTATATTTCCATTTATATTACGAAATGTCTGTAACAGTGTTGAAACCTGGAAACATGGTGATAATCAATTAATCTTGTTGTAATATGTATATATCCTCGGTTTAAGTTTCATATAAAATACAATACATAGCGTGGCGTCCTTCGTTATTTAATTAACGATTCATGGGAGCATTGCAACTGAGGCAAACGTTTAGGTTCGGTTATCGTCGCGACACATGCTACTCGATATGGGACTCATAGCAACGTACACAACGTGTGTAAAATACATTGTTTGTTTACATGGAATTCGAACACGCACTGCGCGACGACCAGCGCGCTTTAACAACTCTCTTATATATACTTGACGTGAATGTATGTTGCTTTTAAATGTTGCTTTGTTAAACGTCTTTGAACAATCTATTAAACCTTTTATATGATAATTTTAGTACAAACCTCATACGTGATGTTATTTTTTTCAGAAACAGATATTTGTTCATGGTAGTCGGGCAATTAAGACCTGTAAGACGCGTATAATACAATTTCATTTAACGTTTAAAAGTCAAATATATGTAAGCCTTGCTCATATGTCATGCTCTGAAAAGCTGCTGCAATATTAACAAGTCATGTCACGGCATGACAGGGTCCCCGTTGGTTGAATAGTAATAAAAATAAAATAAGAAAGCCGCATGTTAATATGTGTGACATGATGTATAAAGTAGCTGTAAAGTTAGATTGCAACTGATCAATGCATATCAGGTAGTAATGTCTCTATAACAGCCTTCGGTAGACTAGTACAATCTTACTGCCCTGGCCATTTTGAATCCGATCTAAAAACAAAACCTAAGTTTCTTCTTGTACTATCAAAATCGGATTGCAGAATGACAGAAGTACTTGATTTCGCAGATTTGTTAAAATGGCCACCATTCGGCCATCTTTAATTTGATGGTACAACGAATACATGTGCATATGTGCGAAGTCTGAATGTAATAGGTATAGGCATGTTTGAGATAAGGTTGAGGCACGCGGACACATGTATAAACGCTTGTACACACAAACACAAATATTGAGATCGATTCATAGTCCCTGTTTTCGGTCTTCGCTCGAATGAATATAAAAAAAACAATTGATTAGATTTGTAGACCCGGTTGCAACATCAATTTCATTCACCTCGCCAAGTTTTGATGGCCATTCAATTATAAATCAATTTTACTTAATTTGTAAATGCACACGGTGAGTGCCCCCTAGCGGAACCAAAATATTCAATAAAAATAGTCTTTATTTGGATGTACTGGATTGTCTAGACACAATTTACTGAATACTTGCAGGTTTCGGGTCTTTTATAAAACTATAAACCTGTTTTCTATCATCTATATCAGCCGTCGCATTACATCAATCAGCTAACAGGAAATAATAACTGTTTATATTGACAAATTATTCACATGTTCACACTTTTGCGGCAGGGCAAAATTAGCGACCTAAATGCACCCAATGTTAGGCAATGCTAGATTTCAAATATGACAAAAAAAAAGTAACGCAACGTGTACTTTCCTTTACAAATACCGATACAAAGCGCCGCCTGGTCAAAGACATGTATTTATTCTTTCATAACTACAGAGACATTCAAACTATTCCTAAATGACAGTGAATGAGACCATGCGCGTTAAAAACCAGCCTCGAACGAGATTACACGCCTTTAATGTGAATGGAAAGAATGTCACATGCTTAAGACAACTTTAACGGTTACAACTTTGCAATCTTAATTTATAATTCAATGTGTTGAGCGACGGTCATATATGATGACTGTGCCGTGAGTGGTTATAAAGTGTTGGTACATAAAACACACTTAGAATATAATCACACACACTATTTCGAGTAACTGACATGAACATGAATTGATTGGAGAATTGGAATTCCCCTTCTTATCTACTTCTAATTTGTTTCTGTATTAGGTGTATAGATGAGGGAGGTAATAACATAATTTAAATTTAATACAATATTTAAAGAACAATAAATGACAGGTCATAAAAACTCGCAATTCAATGCAAGAGTTGTTGAAAGCCGAGAGTTGTTGTTCAACCCTGATTGCTATCATGCCTGTGGCAAGACGGTCAGCTTAAATTAGATGATATTTTAAAAGCGTTTGACAGAAATAACTCAATTAAAGACAGACGAAGACAAATAACGGCTACGGTAGAATGCAAATCGAACATAACGGGCTGTGTAATATTCTAAAGCACTCAGCTGAATTCCTAACATCGGCGTCTAAATACCGTCACGTCATGATATTTATGTTTAACAACATGCATGCATATAATTGCGTACATACTAGATTTCTGACGTCATTTTATAATGACAAAACTTTTAGTGGTTCAATTCGGTGTATCGGATAAGCGGCCGAGGTATATATATATACTCATTTTTATTTTGAGATGATATTTTGTCTAATATTATGTGTTCTCTGGGACAGTAAATTCAATATTAAGTAATTCACAAATCGACGAATCGCGAATCAACAAACCACGGTCCGAAATGTAGATTACGAATATAATATTAATAAAATTCATTAAATTATGCTATTGATGAGGAACTGGTGTGAAATCGGTTTCCATAGACTCGCCATATGAACGTAGTTGTTTGTTACATGCAACAGTGTAATTATTTAGAATTAAAAATACTGGGGACGAAATTGGGACTAGGGTAGTAGTAGTGTGCACGGTTCGTATAATTTAAAACTTGTCGTGAAGTTTGAAGTAGTGTAAAAAAAATCAGTTATCATAAAAATTAAAAATGGAGGCATAACAACCATACTTGCATTACACTTCAAATTGAATTAGTTCAACCGTAATTCATTGATTTGCAGATTCGTGAATTAAACCGCTGTAAAACGTTTGCTCTGTGACGAATTATAAAATATTTTCAAGGACGAATACAGACAAACCCATAAATAACATTATTATTTACGCAACACTGTAGTAAGAAAGGTAAAATTTATGAACACAGAAAGCAGGTAGGTACTAGACTCATGGCATTATTTATTTTGCCAACCAACATTTTGCCAACCAATTTTGCCAACCAACAACACATTATTTGTAATGGTCCAATGTATTTGTGAGGCTCAGTTTCCGAAAAACTGCAGTAATTACTGGCAGAAGACAGTCCAAGAGGGCGAACCTCCAAAAAAATGCAAATGACTTATCTTCACTAATACTAGGGGACAAGGGGGGTAGCTGGTACAAATTACAAGAAATAAAAACGAAATTTTACGGTTTTACAGGGAATAAAATGAAAGTTTCATTTATAGTAAAAAATGTTTTTTTTTACACTTTACAGAAAAACCTAATTCCTAATTACATTTTACATTTGCATAATATATTTGATAATTCGTGTTCAAGAATCAAAATTGGAAATAACGTAGGAATTGTGACATTTAATGTTTTATACGCTTACAAAAAATAAGATCTTTGTACAAATTACGGGCGAATTTAACATCTGATTACATTTTACACCTTGCCCGTGTCTACGAATTTACGTTTTTTATTTATTTAAATTACATTATTACTTGAAAAAACAATTGATTACAGCTTACGATAATACCCCTTGCCGACCCTCATACCCATGTATTGATTGAACCGAACAATGACCCTAATATGTCTTCTCACCAAACTCAACTCCCGCATGAGACAATTATGTTTCTTTATTTTTTTAAAGTATTTGCAAAGCTTTCTCAACTTGACGCCATTCCTGTCGCATGTTTGCGACAATAAAGTATGCAATGGAATGGACAAATGACACGCAAGTGATATTTTTCCTCGCGATCAGACTTGTCAAGTTCACAGAAATGTCACTTCGCCGTGTCACACCGGCTGTCTTTAAATATCAATCAACCATTAAAGGAGATTCAATTAATCGTCGGGAGCTATTTTTACTTCTCAAAACTAAAATTGTATATCCCGGATTATTTTAGGTGTCATATGAATCAGGGATTCATTGGATTATAAGTGTAAATCTAAGCACGTTCGTAAATATCTGTAAAACCGAAGACTGTTTGCGGTTCTTTTGAAAACGCTTCAACACATTTGAATAGCATTCAATTTATTTTTATTACATCATAAATAGGCAGGTTACAATTATCCAAGCCTAGTCCAGATCTAGGTATTCAATGGTGAAACTTTTCTAATTTAAGGTAATGCTTGAGTTACAGTAAACACAACAAATTCTCGAGTATCTGAAATCAACATCGATTCAATGTTGAAATGTTTTTGTTTTAAATTCAAGACGCGATTTCAACCAGAATTCGACATAGATGCGACGCGATGTGTTTACTGAGCCGTTGCTATTCGCGGATTATATACGCACTGGGCTTGAGAACGCAGCTGTGCAACGTTCGAAATAATAATAACTTCTCGAGCTAAAATTAGAATTTGTTTAGTGTGAACCAAAAAACACCCTCCCTGATCCATGTCCCGTGCGCGTCTCAAATCACACTGGATGTCATTGTACAAACAGATTCATTTTCACAATCTTCCGCGAAGGAAGTTTTTTGAAGTAAGATTAAACACAACATAGGTTTGTTTCGTTTGTATTTACGTAGATCGTGACTATTAATGTGCTCAACTGAATTATCCAAAATAAAAAGTATATACTACAATTATTCTTTGTGTTAAAATATCCAAACAGAGCTGCACATGGAGCGATTGACAATGAACAAGACCAGACTACAGTAAAGGAAACTGAACCGAGTTATGAAGTTCATGGTGATGTCCACGACCAGCACTTAGACATGAATATAGACCTGACAAATATGTTGGATGAAATGCTTAACAAATATGACGGGCGGATACGACCAAATGCAGCCGGTGGGTGTAACATAGTAGTATTGTATATTTGTTTTTATTAATGAGCCTATGGACAAAAATTGAAGTAAAAAATAGTTAGCTGATCTTGCCCTTTGTTATATAACATTATGTCCTTTATCATAGTTTGTTTCAATATGAATATGCATTGTCATAATTAATTTTGATTACAAACATTGTTTAGCATTGAAACTGTCGTGTTATCTTGCATTATTTACGATTTCGTATAAATGCAACATTTTTTTCTGAAATGAGACACTAACAAATCTGAATTACTTTACAAACAAACTGGTGGTAATCAATTCAATAAATAAATATGACTTTAGAGTGTTCTATTACAAGAAGGAGTGAAAAAATGGACAGAGACAATTGGAATACATGTATTAGGATGGAAATCACTACTATAAATATTTTTTTAGTTTACTTTGTGTCTTTTGTACAAGTATGTACAAAGTAGAAATATCCATAAACAGAGTATATTAATTTGTATTGGCTTCAGATCTTGATCAAAAGTTTGAAAATGTGTATTAGATGGTGCAACAGCTCTTTCCATGAGTTGGCATTGAATCCCAGTCTAGTATTCCTATGGGATTTGGGGGATACATTACCAATGATCACAAGATAAATGATTTACTTCATTGAACACATACAGCAATGCGCATTTCTTCTGGGACCGGTAACCTTTGAATGTGTATCACCAGTAATCAGTCAAGTAGAAAAAGTCAGCATTAAGGGACATGGTTCTTCGTGATGAATTTGGTGATCAAGTTTGACACAGTTTGGAATGAAATTAGTAAAGTTATTGTGTACACGATAATTAACAAAGACAGACTAATTTCTCTAATATACCTTTCCCTTTCATCTTTGATGATATGGGCAACGTTAAAAACTAATATATGTTTTTGCCTGTAATCAAGTCGTTGGGGGGATTGCTTTTACGTCCTAGTCATGGACCCACATGTTACGGTGAGCGGTGCGAGTGCACGGGTAGTCGTATGACCGGATGTCAACACCGTCTTGTTGTATGTTCATCAATGCAACATCACATGCAACGCCATAAATCTATGACTACCAAGTCAATCAACATCAAATGAACTGGCTCGCATTTGTTTATTTTCACGTTACTGTTGGCGCTAATTTGCATACGGGACAAAAAGAATATATTTTGTACTCCTACAATTGCGAACATGCATTGTTCTCATAATAGTGTCGATATAGTGTATGCGGTGTCAACAACAGAGAATATTACGTAAACAGACTCCTTAGTTTTATAAGTCAAGTGTAACTAAATTGTAATTGAATATTTGAACTTTCTAGGTCCACCCACGACAGTTGAGACAAATATGTACATTATTAGCGGTTTCAGCACGGTTGCAGCTACAATGGTAAACATTGCAATATATATCTCTATTTCAGAACTGCTTTTACGCCAACTAATGTTATCCAACTGATTTTATTTAAACCGTCTATTTCAATACATAGCTTTCCGCCAATACGAGTGACATATATAAATATGTACGTGAGAATTGGGAATGTACTAATAAGGCCGTGAATTGTTTCGATAAATCAATACATCTACTCTGGCGTGGAGCTACAACACTTATTTATATATCCAGTTAGATGTGCGACGAGATCTCGCGAGATTTATATCAATCACGTTTAGTACAGTCCTCCCAAAATATAACATCCAGATTGATAATAAGGTCAAGTTTACCCCCCTTGATTTAATAAAGGAGAAGTTTTACTCCAATAGATTTTTTTCACTGATTTCATAGATAACTATAACAAATTCTCGGTGCTAAACACGTTAATAACTTATCTCTTCTCTTTCAGGACTATAACATAATGGCGTTCATCCGTCAGAAATGGAACGACCCTCGATTGAAGTTCAATCACACAGCTAGTCTTAACGTCGACATTAGAGTTGTTGACTTGTTGTGGGTTCCAGATATGTACATTACCAACGAGAAAGATGGTAAAATGCACTCATTGACAGTGAGGAACGAAGCGTTGCGCATCTACCCCGGGGGAGACATTCTTCTGAGCATGAGGTGACCCCTTAACGATTGCGTTATTCTTATTTTTCAAAATAGTTCAATATGTGTATGGTTATACCTGCAATTTATTTTTTTTATTTTTTTAGACTTGAAGTTAATTATGATCATCAAAATGTTCAAGCTGTGGCACATGTATAGTTGTCTTCCAAGCATGCTTTTAGTTTAATTTAGTTTAGTTTAGTTTTCACGTATTACGATATCTTGAAATGGTAACCCGAAAATCTTTTGCTTTCTTTCCTTGTAGAGTTAGTCTCACTCTTGCCTGTAACATGAATTTGCGGAAGTATCCAATGGATGTACAGATATGTCATTTAACTATGGAAAGTTGTAAGTAAAATTCGATGATTTTGTTAAGTTATGCGATGATGGTCGTATCCGTGGTATCTGCTTTTGCGGTCCGACATGACATTTCTTATTGTATCAATCAAGTTATTACGTCCTCTAATTTCACATGGCTAATGCATTCAAATAATTTATGTATCTATCTTGATTACTGACTCACTCCCCGCTTTCCATTTTTGCAGTTGGATTTCGAACGCACGACGTCCAACTAAAGTGGGCAAAAGACAATCCAATAGAACTGAATAATGAAATTCTAATCGCCGAGTTTGCTACCCCGCAGTTCAAAGAAGTTTCGTTTAATGCGACATACGTAACTGGTAAGCAGGTTCTATGGCATTAATATTGTGTAAATACAAAAATTATACATTATGTTATTATACATATGTATTGAACAAGTACATGTATATGACAAAGGACACTGTTTCTATTGTTTTTTATCATGGAAAAATTCGCAATGAATAGTTATGTCGTGTGGTATTTATTTCTTGTTCCTCATTGTTAATTTCACTCACAGGCGTCTTCAGTTCACTCCGTGTCTATTTCATATTGAACCGTATATATGACTACCACATAATCCAGAGTTACATTCCTACTTTTCTTATGGTTATTATATCGTGGATATCTTTTTGGCTGAATCCAGAAAGCGTCCCCGCCCGGGTTACTCTTGGCGTTACAACAGTGCTGACAGTGACGACGTTATCTGGTGGTGTACGCGCAGGGCTGCCAAAAGTGGCGTACGTCAAGGTACGTCAAACAGTCAGCAAGCTACGTGCTGTCTTCGCTTCCATCTGCTTGGTGCTGCCACCAGCTTTTCCAACCCAAACCCGACTAATAATCTCTACCAATACACAAACGCTTGAACTAAACCGCAACGAGTAACATGACACGTTAGCATGGTCCATATTACCACCGTTCTTCTCACCCTATGTTTATACACCATAGGTAAGTACAGCTTACTTAACCCTATTTCTGGCTGCACCGTATATACGATTTCCACATCGTACATGTCCTAACGACTGAACCGACGGCGACGACGCAATGTACCGGTATACGAGGTGACTTGCCACGGGTCTCCTATTATATCAAGGTAATCCAGAGAGCAGTGAATGTTTTCTCTGGTGCTATGTAACAATAACGGCCAACCGATGGCTTGACTAACCGCATAGCACAATGCTATTAATTGTGTTATTGAGAGATTATAATACCGTGCGCTGCAACGGCACGCTCCCTTTGCTTGGAAACAAAGCACAAACGTACGAGCAAGATTGTCCAATATTTGCCTACATTTATAAACAACAAAAGCATCACGTTTATACATCTTTGTCATTTTCTCCTACAACATTTGTGCGTGTTTTGGCACGCTATTTTCTTCAAGTGTCCCGTGGCACTTATTGTTGTTCAATTATTTGGCATTTTAGGGTATGACAATAATAATGCACACCGCATCGCCGTTAATACGTGACAACAAGGCTCGGACAGTGATATTACCTTGAATAATAAACCCTGCCTTACTAATTAAAAAGTAATAAATCCCCAACAGCATTATATTGGATAAGAAGGATGGTCCATGACAAGTTAAAGTGTGAAGCGAAGCCGAACATATTATCTGGTTTAGACCCAAAATGACGCTGCGAGGAATTTATTATTGTAGTTATAAATTGCCACTACTATTAATAGGCAGAATTAAACAAATTTAGTTCAATTTGGAGGCTTTTTGTTGAAACGAATTCACTTTAAATATGCATTATCGTGCGATAATGTAAAGTTTTGATGACGTCATATTCTGACTGTGGTGATATATAACACGCAATAATGGGCTGCGCGTCGTCCTTTATTCCTTAAATAAAAGATGACGTACTGTGCATTATTGCAATTCGTGAAAAGATTGGGAAAAAGCACTGTATATGGCGAACACAGTCTTGTTTGTACGCTCGTACATTGACCTCAAGCACTACCCAGGTATTGTCTGACAAGATAACGTTTCAATAATGAACAGCAAAGGGTATTATAATTTGTTGTAACACTCATCTATTTCAAATTAATTCTAATAAACAGAACATAATCGCACTCTAAAGCAGTATAATTAATCCGATGGATATTTATATACAGGCTTGTATATGAAATGGTAGATCATAAATATTTACGGCTTACGAAGTAATTATTCTGTGATACTGTGTCGTATTACAAAGTGATCTGTGTCCACCAATATCCCGCGTCAATCGTAGTGGTTTCGCAGTTTTATCGTCCTCTACCTTCGTTTTGTGTGAGTGATCCATAATGCCAATTCCGATGTTAATAGGACACTACACATAATCCTGTTATAGCTATATTTTCTTCATAAACGTGAATCGGTTGATGTAGTCCGCTGTAGGAATCCTAGTCCCGCCCTCCCAGCGAATATTAATATGTTATATAAAACTGAAAAGTAAAGCGGGTCTTGTTTACGGTATCTTAAGTAACAGTAAATATAACGTAAATGTTGCTGCATACATATTACTAGTAAAAAAGAAAAGGTGAACTCTGGATAGCTATATACTAAGCATAATTTTACTATTAGGGTCACTTGAAGGCGGTTACAATAACCACGTTATATTTCTCACTGTCAGTACGGTGTTATACCCATGGTTTCAATATGGTTATTCCTTCACTCGCTGTTATCTTTGTTCAACACGTGAGGTCATTTTTGTAAACTTGCTGTCTTCAAATCGTTTGACTGAAGGGCATTGATATTATAAACGCACATAATTCTTACCTCTGTTGCAGGCGATAGATGTTTGGATGACCGCATGCCTGGGCTTTGTGTTCGGTGCATTGATTGAATTCGCTCTCGTCAACTACTTACTCACCGAAGAAAAAAACAGGAAGGAGAAGGCAAACAAATTGTCGAAAGCCTCTAAGGTAAGAAAATTACACTTAAAATAAAATACCGATTTTTTTCATGACGTAAGCGTTCGCGAATGTCAATATTCGGCATTTATTACACTTTTTGGCTATCGAAACGATAAAAAACCTCAAACTTATCATGTTTGTGGATTTTTGTGTGAATCACCTTTATTTTCTATTGAAAATAATAGTTTTAATTACATTTGCAAGTCAAATAAAATATCCTATACCATTCACTCATTGTATTTACTAAAACAGGAGAAGAGCATAGACAATGTTGAAATGGACACATTAAACGAGGGCATACAGATGAAAGATAGAAAGAAAGATGGCGACGGTGACGCAAGTAAAACGGAATACGTCCGTTCCTGGTTGGTGAAAACAGTCAGACACCGCTCAGTTGACAAGGTTTCAAGAATACTTTTTCCGGTAGCTTTCGGGTTATTCAATATTATCTACTGGCCAGTATGTTTTCACGGTTACTATGACGACCGTCTAGCGGAGCTGTGAGTCGCATGTGATTCGCGTATTCAATCAAGTCTCAGTGATGTAATGCAAAGATACGGACCATAGCGACGCGTTTCAGGACATCATTGATGACATACTAGTATTGCCTGCCGCTTTGTTTTTAAACCGCGGCTATGTTGTAACATTTGCATGAGGGCGCCCTCCTTGACGGACTAAGAATGCGGTTCATGCACGTTTTACCTCGAATTCTTAGAGAGATGCTGAATTGTTCGAGTTACGAGCATCGAGTTACGAAAACATCATACGCCCATATAACCACGCAAAACATCGAGTTACGGGAAATATACATTTTTGTTTTTGTTGACCGTCCACATTTAGTAACTCGATCTTTTAAGTTAACCGAAATTCGAGTTAGGGGGAACATAAAACGTTGAAACAAAATAAAACAAATTGGACGTGGTTTTTCAAAAGTGGATGTGGTTTTTAAAATATGGGCGTGGTCATTTTTGTTCGTAACTCGATATCCGTAACTCGAACAAATCAGCATCTCGTGGGTAGAAGAGAACATGTAGCAATACGTTTGCGTATTGTGCAATTATTCCTGGATTTTTGAATCGGTTTCTAAGACTAGAATAATGATAATAATTGATTGTTCGATTGATCAAGCGAGTGATTACATAGTTTCACTGCTAATTCTTTAAAAGCACGTGACTAAAATCAGTACTAACATTGTCCCTATTATGACAATTAAGTTTTGCAATATTTTGTTTTAATCTTTTGTAATAAAGTTGATTTGGTTATTTATGTTAACTGTTAGTGGGTGGGTCATTTCAGGTGGTCGGGGTAATCTACTAAGCATGTGTATGGTAGTTGGATTGTTTGGATCGTGGTTCATGTTGGGATGTAGGCGTTTCAATATTCTGTAATATAATGACGCGTTTCAGGTAATTCTAGTCACGTGGTACCATGTACGCGTCGGGCACTAGCCACTATGCCATCATGCATGCCAGTGGTTTCACTGCTTTCCGGAGACAAATCAGGGGAGGTGATTTCGCAGCACTAGTTGACACTTTTCTTTGTGAACTACGTGTCATCCGAGATGTCATCCGAGATGCATTCAACTCGGAAGAGCTTATTTGTCGTTAACTTCGGAGATAACCAGGCGACCATTCACAGATGTGGGAATCGTGAATAAATTAAGTTTAAAAATAAGTATGTACGGTGCAATATCACATTTTGCAAAAAAATAAAAACAAGGCAAAATATGCTTTCTCAGTTTAAAGAAATAGTGTAGTGTTAAATGCAGTAATTGTTAAAATTACGAGTTTAATCTGATTGGAAGAATCAGATCTGATGACGACAATCTGCGTGATAAATGCGTGACGTAACTTTGACGCATTGAGCTGCTTATCTACTATGATATTTATTGCATACGATGCAATAAATCCCGTCATGCTTTGCTGTTCGAATTATGATGTCGTCAACACCAGCGCCGATGTTTAGCGCCCTCTATCGCCGACTTATTTATTTCAAACGTGTAATTTTTAATAATTTCTCCTTTGTTGTTTTCCTTGTATCAGCTTATTGAAAATTCTAATTATATTAATGTTAAATTTGTAGTTACCTACAAACATGTGAACGCGGGAGTGTTTTTACACTGATAGAACCAGTAAAACACATATAATAACACAGAGATCGACGGCCCATTTTTCCCAGCACCCGATAGAAATGTAATGTTTCACCGCTGCGCAGTGGTAATTCGATCACAATCAAAACTTAGGAACTTGGATCTTGTGGACAACAGCTACAAAAACTGCATTTACAGACAGAATAAAAAAATGTCTGTGTCCATAATCAATTAATATATTTTCCAAGAACCTAATACATTGAATTGTTGAAATACAATTAATACTAATTTCTGTTGATGGTCAACTATCGGTCTTCTATCCGAGGAGGTCAATCGATGTGGCTGATGAGTAATGCAACATGCTGGAACTAGAAGTAAATAATTAGTCGCTTGGGGTACCATCAGAATAGGCTGCGATTGTTAAGAAAAATCATGACTGATTTGCCCAAGGATGACTTGGCCTTGTTGCGTCTTTCTGTCTATTCATTTATTTTGTTCGCGGTGGTGCATTATTTTGAAAGTGGCATTGTTGATGAGCTAGGTCACTTGTACCGTCATGATTTCAATGAATTGGCAAGGGAGTCGTCTTCTCATACAGTACTGAGTTAATTTTCGCCAAGGTGGCTCACTAGGTCTCTGTGCGCCATGGATCGTCGTGACAAAACGGGTTTCACAGTAAGCAACTGGAGTGAGACTTCTCCATCCTGTCGAAAAGAGAGGAAAAATCAGGCACGAATATTGGAAAACACTCTCCGAGATTTAGAGAAACAGAAAAAAGCCCGAGAACGACAACTAAACGGGGAGTTTCAAATGAACGCCAAATTACTGTTTTATAAAATGCAGAAAAAACGGCGTAGGAGCAGCTCAAGCTCGAGCATAGAGAATGCGTATGAAGATACCTGGGCAATACCGAGTAATGATGACGTGTTTTCAGCCCAAAGTGGTATGGAAAAACGAGGACATATGTACGATAAAGTCACGTTACACAAAACCATCGCCCGGTTCAATGCGATTGACGCAAGTTACGTTCCCAGCGGCCGTGCAGAGTCTTCCTTTTCCAGGGCAGATTCCCAAGGCAGTATTCAACTAAGGCGCCAAATAGACGTAGTTGAAAATAAAGTGTCTTCATTCATGGTAAGGCGGTGTTTATTTATTTAAGATATAATTAACAAATCAATCATATAGAATGTGAAAAAATATTGACTATAATCACTAGTACATCATGATTAAAACGATCGATCCAAACGGTCTTAATCTCCTTGAAATAGACATTATAATTTACTTATCAATAAATGCTATGAAAACCTGATATCATAAAAAATCGTCAAATGATGCGACGAAGGCTATATTCATTTATTCATTGCACTTATATATCTCATATGTAAACAAGTGGCGATGACTTAGATGTCAATGGCCATGGAATCGACTATATAATGCCAGGCCACTATACAATGACATCGACGTACAATAAACAAACGGGTACTTTAACAATGCGAGTTATTGTTAGAAACAGGTCCTCGTAATTATGTACCAATTAGCCACTTTCCAAAAGAAAAGAATGTCGCTGGCCTCGCTTTCTTCATCATTACAAGGTGACTGACCGCAGGGCCAGTGGCTTTGCTGCTGAATACTGATGCGCTTTAAAACGAACGCATCTTGAATTGTCATGGTTACAGCAACCAAACCATATACAGTTGATTATTAAGAGATGTCACTATTCAATGATAAAATTGAGCTTCGACGATTATATGAAAAAAAACATCTCTAACAAAAACACTATGAACCGTCTCTTTGCTTCATCGTTGTTTTGTAAGTAATCTAATGTTTACATTCTGCATATCTGTTATATACTTACAGGCACTAGATACAGAAGAAAACAACAACGACGTATCACCAGACTTAGCTTCGCCACAAACACCGGTGCGCATTTGCGAATCTATGAGCACTGCCGCCAACGACAGAATGAAAACTGAAGTTCCCAATTTCGTAACAGGCTGCTACACAGAACCGTCAGACACGTCCATCGTCCCAGCACTTACTAGTATTTCGTCCCCAAAGCTCACTCAGCCAAGATTGGAACGGGGAAGTCGTCTAAATAGCAGGGAGTTTTCAAGTAAATATTCAACGAAACTGGTGAACGATCAAGGGAGACACTCTCCAGTCAAGGAGACGGCTGGTACATCAAGACGCCAGCCAGCGACGCTCAGGCGCATGTTCTCTACTCCGTTGCTGACGGCACGTAAAGAAATTGACCTCATAGACCAGGCGAAGACCGCTCGCTTCTGATCTGATTTGGTTTGAATTGCTACGATGGAATTGTACTGGATTTAAAGTTAATTTAACTAAAATAATCAACACGTTCAGGCATTAGTGCTAGCGGACACTCACTCATGTATACACCGTGTTAGATCGCACACTCGAACTCTATCTGAATATAATTTAAAATTGATAGAGTATAATGTAGTTTAGGTCAAAACACGATGATCTAACTACACATTTGTATCGCTGTAGGCAATGATCTCACCCAGCAAACTCCGCGTTACTATACAATAGCTGGCTTATTTTATCAAACGCTGATAACAATTGGTGCACCCGTCACTGCGTATATTAGGTCCTCTAATTCCTTTTACACTCAAATATAATCAAATGCAACTATTAGCTCGCCTTATGCAAATTTTAGTTAGATACCAGATAATAAAATTTATGTAATTTACCATAGTACGTCAAATAGCAGGCTATCATCGGGCAGAGATACTTACCAGTGTGCCACCGAGAACACGTCAAAACGCCAGAAAGAATGTCATTCGCCAACCGTTGAGGGCAGGATACACATCATATACGTAACATTCCATGCAGTATACGAATCAAATCATCCCTCGAATTTTAAACACATATCTCATATAAAACCACGTTCGCAACACACACACCCGGCACACCCCACGACTATTGTCGTCAAAAGATGTACTCTCGTATTCATTGTTATTTTAAAACCTTGCTTATGAATTAATGTAATTGTTTACTATAGTAATTTACAATACAATTAATTAAATAGACTGGCAATCAAACAGAGTAAATATCTCATATACTCACCTACGAGTATCGTCGCATGTTACCTGCATTAAAGACGTGCTTTATAATCTCCCACTCACAACGTAGACGGGAACAGACGCGCTAAATAGCCGTTTTAAAAGTATATATCAAAATATGAATTAATTGCGTGTTCACCGTGCTTCATATATTCAGGCCAGATAACCTCGTCGCATTTGGGTACGCTAATTTGTTTTTCGTATCAGTGTTTTAGATACACTAATTTGCAATGAAATCTGAGTTTGAATAACATTGTGTTTGTATTGAAGGTGTGTATATTTACTCAATTACGAGTAATCATAGTCCATAGAATAGGCCATTTGCGGGTTTCATTGTCACGTGGTATGGTCGTACGAATAGGTTATAATTATCCGCCATTTTGTCGTCCTTGTTCGTAGCCGCTTGTTATAAAACAACTAAAATGATCGTCTAAGTATGCATTGATATAACACAAAATGTTGACATGTTAACTTTATACTTTCAGTATTGTGCACGCTTGGCAATGTGGTGTTACTTTATACAAATCTGTGGAATATGTTTAGTTGACAATGTGCGTCATGCGTGAACGAGCCTGCTTCGGCACTGACGTAATCGAACAAAATATCACACACGCGTACTTGAAATTCTATTCGTTTTTTAGAAGAAGACGAGTGACGTCACCGTTAAGAAACAGTTCTCACCAACGACCGTTCGTCTTTTTTTTTTAAATTATACCTTCTCCCTGCGGCGAGCTGCATTCAATCTTTATGCTACCTTCCAGGGACAGCCGCAATGTAATTTTTCCAATCTAAGTAATAATGTTTCAATCGCCTTAATGCAAGCAAACCACACACCCCCTAGAGCTGCAGTGTCATATCGATCATATATAAAAATTATCCCACCTGCTGATGCGTGCAATTGTTTACATACTTTTTATATCCGACACCGTTTAACATTTAAAATACAACGTTTACCACACGTTGGGCAAACATCAATTTCAGAGATGCGTTTTATTTTTTGCAAATCGGATATTTTCATCCAAATATCGTGATGCCTTGGTCAATATTTGTCGCAGTTGCAACATGGGGAGAAGTGAAGATCAATCTATTATTCGGCGCTCGATTTCTCCTGACTTCGACGGTGTTTCTAGTTATATTCGATTTGCGTAGTGCGTTAGTTTACACTCGGATATACTGATTTAAACGCAAGGATTTGTGAATCGGGAATGTAGTTAAATACATGTCATTGATCACGCCTCTGTTTTTTCACGTAACTGGGCGATCAATGGACTGGCTCAGATACAAAATAACAAACATCCAACAGTGCTGTGGTAGTTTCCACTTTCAAGTTTTCTCCTCCTCAAAATATTATGTTTTTTATTTCATTACTCGAGTTCAAAAGATTGGGGAAAACGCACACACCGCGTAAGCACCCGAATTGCGTAAAATACGTGCAGTGATCGGTCAGTAGTTATTATAAACAGAAGTAACATGCAAGTGATCAGATTGGCCATAAAAGAATAATGTATTGTTGTATTTGATTTTTAGACGAAAGTGTTTAGTTCTATCAAAAGGGTTTCAATTTCTTTAATTTAAACAAACCTAATCATGCAGCTTATTTGTTCTTCTCGAGAGATTTGAACACGCCATGGAGATATGTTACAAGAATATTGTGTCACGTGACCGGTCGATGATACAGTGAGGGATTGTATGGAGTATAATAACTATGGTTCACTGTCGTGAGAGTAATTAACCACAAATATTGTTTGTACTCAAAGTATCAATGATACACTAATGGGTATGCTATGCTGCGCTGTGCCGTCTTACATCACGGTATTTTATGTGTTACATCCAGATATTTTACATTAGACAGTTATGTCTTACATC